CCTCTTTTGGATAGCATTGGTTATCCAAAAGAATTCCAGTCGGCCTAAAGTATAATTTTTATTTGTTTTTATATTTTTCAATGTATTTATCTCGTTTGTAAAACATAAAGAAATAATTTTTAACGATACAATAGCCATGATTATTATTTTAAAAAGTTTACATTAGGCTTAACATCGACAAAAATTCAACGCAAAGCGATACGCAACAGAGAAAAATTTCAGGATGGGATAGGTTAATATATTTTTTCGTACATAATCAGTTATCTGAAAAGTAAGTTATCCGAACAACCCCAATCGATTCGGATAAACAACGTTCTACTGTAATGATCTGTTGAAGTTTCCACCTGTGCATTCCAATTTAGAATGTTGTCCTGGAGCAGATCTTGTGTAAGANGGATTAACTTTTTTAATATTAATTAATAAATGATTAAAAATTTATACTGTTTAAATTAAATATTAAAAGTTTTATTAGAAGTTATGATTAATTCCTTGCCTAAGAAATCCTTAAATTCATTAATGGATAAATGTTTCCAAGAATCTTTTTCCAGCTTCAGATTCTCTTTGAATGGATAAAAAGTGTTATTGTTTTGACGTTTTATATCCATTCACAAAGGTCTGAAACTGAGAGAAAACTCTTGCAAACATTTATTTATTATTGAATAGAAGGGTGTTCTTAAGCTGAATTTATTGTATCTTATTATATCTCTTAAATTAATATGAATCGAAAGGTGATGACTCAGTTTCTATATATTCCCAGTAAGAAATTTTATTACCTGTTAAATCAGGATACCATGGCTGACTCTGAGATAGGCCATCCATAATTTCTGAACTTGACTGAATTGTCAGTGGACAATGTAATATATCGCAATAATACCACAATCGAAATTTGCACTGAGCATGAGTTCTAGATATAAATGGAGTCTCCAAAGTAGTAATATCTGATTTTTGTCCACGACTGCTGTCAGCAATGACATACCAACCAGTTTTATTTCCTTTAGAATCTGCTTCAGGATGATCCTAAAATAATTATTGAATTTACTATAATAAATGAATACTTTTGAAGATTATAAACAGAGAAAATTATTTCTATATATACATGGCATAAATAAATAAATAATTTTATTACTTTATATTTAAAACTAATACTGATTGCGATTAGTAATGAGTGAAATATTTTTCTGATTTTTGAAGCTTATGATTACTTTATTTTATATCATCGTCATAAACATTGTAATTTTGAAAAATATTAATAAAATATTTCATTTCAATTATAATACTGAAATTTATAAATTAAATTTTAAAAAATTATATCCAAAATGATTGTTTAGCAGTAGCCTATGGAATAATTTTAATAAAGAACATAATTAATTTATATTAGCATTAACATAATATTAAGAAGTTGTGAAAAAATAAATAAATAAAACCAAAAGTTGAATTTAAAAAAACATTTAAAAAAGAACAAGTGTCATTAAAACTCAAACTATGGTTTATAAGCAGGGCTGTGGAGTCGCGTAAAAATCTACCGACTACGACTTTTCCTTACCATCCAACTCCGTTTCATATACATAACAAGTTGATAAGTAAAAGGAGTCGGAGTCGGTGGATTTTTGATGACTCCGACTCTGGCTAAAACACCAAAACTCCACGACTCTGACTCCACAGCCCTGTTTATAAGACATCATAATCCATGCTGAACCTATTAAGTCATTAAGAATTATTTTTGAAAAATCAAAAATCATATCTTTTAAATAGTTAGTCTTTTCCATAGAATTTAAATTGTTCTTTTAAACAGGCAAAATTATACATTTTGTACAGTGTCTAATTTTGTTTTGATTTGATGCTAAATGGTTAGTCAAATATGATTCCTTAGAGTTTTGTAGCAGTTTGCCATATTTTTTTCTTGTCTTCTCTGCCCACCCCAATTTACGTGCTGTTATCATACTTTGTCCGGTGTTACGCCATTGTTTGTATTCAAGATGGACGAACTGTGGAAGACATTTCCGAGCTCAAGTGAGAGTGGCACTGGGCCGAGAGAGACATTTGTGCAAAGAGATGTATGAAGCTTCAACTAAAGCTCAAGGAACTACAGCACTGAGACTTCACAAGTGTTCAGCCATCTACTGGCAAGATACTGTTTGTATATTTAGTTTATGAGTTTTAGATATAATTGTAACTTGGTTATTATTAGTCCCACTATTGTAAATTGATTTGATTTGATCTTTGGGAAATTTTGGTTAAATTAGTCATAATAGTCTATGGCTGTTGGGACACATGTGAATTAGATTTGTTATCTTACTGGATTGGCTGATATCTCAAGGTCTAGTAGTGACAGTTTTGTTTTATTACATTTTGCTTGTCAAAAGGTGTTTGTGTGTGTGTTTTTTTGTCACTTTCCCCAAACAAAGTTCAAAGGTCACTTTGAAACTTAATAGTTTAGATCAGATTTGGGTAATCTGAAACCCTGGACTGCAGATCTATGCCCAATCTACACTCCAAGACTTTTTCTACAATATACACACTATCAAGATCCTTAAATGTATTTACATCAACAGTAATTTATAATAAGTCCTTATGTCCAGTGAACAAGTCACAAAGCTATAAGAAATAATCTTGAAAATTAATATATTCATTGCATTCACATTTTCTTTAAAATCAACAATTTTTTTTGTGTAGAATTAACATAAAAATTTCAGCCTGATCTCATATTAAAACAATATTGTATGGTTCTTAAATACAGAAAAGTTATATTGATAGATACATATTATTAACTCATGTATTGGTAGACGCAACAAATACTAAACTTTTTTGCTCAAACTGTTACAAATTAGAATAGACTCACTGTCTGGGTGAACTATTAATTTTTCCCAGGGATATCGTGCGCAACCTGTCGACCCTTTTCTTTTTTTATTTTGTTTGTACGCTTCATTTGTATTCATATACACCTCCAATATCCAATAGAGCTAAGTCATCTAGGTTACTTACGTTACTCCTACCCAAGTCTCCCTAGTTGCTAACTGTAACTGATTTAGAACTGGCACGCACTGCACATTATTCTTCACATTGCAAAATGACATATGCATGCATCAGGAACTTCTGTTCAAACAAACCTCACCTGCTGTCCAGGTCAGTGATTTTAAAAAGGTGGCAACACTACCACAGAATTTTTCATTACTTATTCTGTGACGAAGCTGAATTTTAGTCTTTTAAATTGAGATACCTAAGTAAGGGGACGGCAAAATTTTCCTTTGCCCTGGGCGGCTGACACCCACGCTACGTCACTGATGTGAAGAAAGAAAATTGAGACCAATAAAATCACTTATTTCAGGGATAAAACCTTTATAAACTTTAAATTTCAAAAACAAGAATCCATTCTCCCTTTCTCATTTCATTTGTCTTCTGACACAGACTAAGGAAGGAAAAAGGGACATATGTTTGTGTACTTCAACTTCATCTTTGTTCTACTAATCACAATATATGACATCCAACTAGTCTTTCCCTGGCTGTCTGATCTCCATCGGATAACTGACAATAGTGAATTACAGACTGAACTTTTCACATTTTTGCTTTTTGTCTTTGTGAAATTCTTGACCACAATTGTGTAAGCATTACATATTATTCAAATAAATGAACTACTTTGTAAAAGTGACCTGTCTCAGTGTTGACAGTCACATCCATATTACACTTGCATCCCTCATTCATCTTTGTAATACTTCAATTAAACATTCTTTTTTCTCCTCCCCATTGGCATCTCACAGTGACAACAAATACTGTAGATAGGCTAACTATTCATATCTACAGTATTTACTAACAAAGCACTGATCTTGTGAAATGACATTTTGCATCTTACCAATGAGAGACCAATGCTCAGCTTACAAAAAATGAGAGGAATGATCATTACTACATTGACTAATGATAAGTAGCCTTTGAATTGAGGCTAGAAAACATCACTTCGAGTCTGATGAAAAACTGTGGGAGATCATTTTACATTTTGATGAATGCACACTGATTTTGTTTGTCAAACAGTTTTATTTGCAAAAAACAATTTGACTAACAGCAAGTGTGAGTCCTGATTAGAATCTCTTTCGTACAAATACTGGAGACTAAGAATATTCTGATCTTTGTAACACATCAGGTGAAACATAAAATTATGGTTAAAATGAGAGGCTATGTTTAAGTTTCTAATCCTATATGTGAGTAAAGTTAGAAATTAAATTTAATATAATAATTGTTATTCATTATTGAAATTTTTATAATCTATGTAATGTTTCATTAACAACTTCAATCTTGATATAAAAGACAAGGAGAGCTTAAATACCGAAGAAATAAAAATATTAATGTCCAGACATATCTTGTGTTTACTGTTTAATTTTTATACTACATTCTCCCTTATTTCATTCCACACGTAAACAAATTCACCCGAATGAAGCCCATACTGGATACAAGCCTACGAATAGCTACTGGAATATTTAGTCGCAAAATAAATTAGTTTTATTTGAAAGTCACTTTCTCTCCCAAACACAAAGTACTATTTAAATTTGACATTTTGTTAACTATACAGAAGAAATGCGAGTTCAGAAAATGAAAACACTTTCTGAACTCACATTTGAAGAGTCAATCAAAATAAAGCCAGTTGTAATGTTAGTGACTGAAACTAGCAATCATTTTAACTCTGACCTATCCATCATGCAATTATAAATATCACCGATAGTTCCTCCATTGGTGGAAACCTGTCGGACTCCTGACTTACAGGGATTTTTCTCATTTACTTGAAGGCAATATTTAATGTTGTCGTCATGTCAAATAATTACAGATTTTGTCTTGTGTTCTATGCATGTTGAAAACTGTAATGCAAATGACATGGCCAATTATATGAATGGGGTGGAAAGAATGATATTTTTTAATCCCAAAAGATGTAAGTGTGAATAGACTATAGATAAGATATTCTAATACTCAAGTTTACAATTTACACTTGATATCATCTTTTCAAATTTTATTAACATATTTTGAATGTTTAAATAACTCTACTAAAACCTTATTCAGTTCTTTATGTTTTTTTGTTTTTTTTAACACTTTGTACAAATAATCAATAAAAATAATAAAAAATTTGACATATAAATCGAATCACATATTGTATACTTACTTTTATTTTGCTATCACTTGCTTTGGTGACAGTCCAAGTGAATATATTATCATTTATATCTCTTTTATATCTTTGTTTTGATCTGATTTTTATTTTCCATCCACATAAGTTATTATTTATAAATGTGCAGTTTGGTTTTACTGAAAAAATTATTTATGAAACTGATAAGTACATATCAATAATTTAAAAAATTTATTTTACATGAATTAAAATTAAAACACTTTAAAATATTTTAAAAGTAATATCTTTCATTATGAAATACATAAGGTAATCAATAAACAGTGTCAAAATAAACCAATATAACTTGCTTCAATATCAAATAATAAAATACAGTAATACCCCGAACTTACGCGATAGGTGGGACCAAGAGATAACCGTGTAAGTCGAATTCACGTAAGTTGGGGTATAATTTCCCAATTTGTGTAAAATCTAAGTCGGATGTATGTAAGGTAATAAATGTTCTTGTTAATCTAATCTTGTCTTTTGATTCGTTCACGGTTACAAGAAATCACCACATAGAGTCTCTCGAGTCTCTGTAGATATAACAAACATGGAAATAAATAACACAAAATAAATTGTAGCTATGTGTTGATTCCGCGCGACATGTCTGAACATGTAAGTCGAACAATAGTGTGGGTGGAGTGAGTAATCGAGAGTTGCGTGGCGCTCAAACAAAAGACCAATCGATGAGATTTGAAAATTGCGTAACTCCGGGTTCGCGTAAGTCGAGGTATTACTGAATATAAAATACAGAAATATATTTTATTATTTGGATTATTTCTAAAATGAGACATAAATATTTGTTGTAATCCAGATTGTATTCCAACACACAGTTTAACTGTATGTTGTATCAATATACAGTTAAACTCATTTATAACAATCATGAAGGGACCAAGTGCTGTTATAAGCATTACTCACTATATCCATTTTTAGAGATTAACTGTATATCACTAACAACGGATATTGTTAGTGCTAGTTTTTCATCTGCCCTGTGCAAGATTTTAGTTTTGGCTCTGTCTGTTTTTGGAAAAGTATTTTAAAAACAAATACGATACAAATAGTTGGTTATTTTTAAAATTTAACTATGCACCCATTGCACCTTACTAGTTGTGGTACTGAATTCAAGTAACAGTTAATGATTACATGTAACTTGTATTTTTTATGTACAATACTTCTTTATTTGACTTAACACAATAAAATTTTTAAACACAACAAAGAAACTTTCTAACTTGTTTACTGCCATTTGAAATATTATGACATTCCCTCTTATTCTTAAAAAAATGCCACCTTTTTAAGATTGATTTTTTAATAAAATTTGTAACATTCACTCATTATCTTTTTATAAATGGCACTATTATAATAATAGATTAATGTGAAATAGACAATAAATAAATTATTCTTCTGTTGATTTATATTATCAACAAGACAGAACACTAATAGTTTTTAAAGATCTGTTTATCTCTTGATAAAATGGTTTTTGAGACTATTAAATCTCATCATCAGATCCAAATTTAATAATTACATTGCTGGATTTTTTTCATATTGCTATTTCATATTAATATATATATGAATATTAATATATACTTAAGAGATGGCACCTAATGCCTACCTCTAATGACAAATTACTTTATACTAATCATTTAATTAGCCATGTAATAGTCCGATATTTAGGCGATCGTTTGGCAATTTAGTATATATACTATTTGGGCTTTGAATGTTGTTATTTATATATATATATACACCTCGCCGGGTGTTACATTAGCTGGCTGAGTGCCATTGAGAGTCATGGGCGATGAAGTTGTCCCCAGTCAGTGATGTATTTAACCAAGTAAGGTTATATCTAATCTAATATACTTCTGGAAGCGAAGACTCGCTCGGGGTCCAGGTGGCATAACTGGCAAGCGCACCGCACGGCAAGCAGAGGTTGCGAGTTCAAACCCCGTCCCGGGCCACTTCTTTTATTCCAGAAGGTTCTAAAATTAATTTAATAATTTATTTATTTAATTTTAATTATTAATTTACTTAAGAGATGGCACCTAACGCCTACCTCTAATGACAAATTACTTTATTCTAATCATTTAATTAGCCATATAATAGCCCGATATTTAGGCGATTGTTTGGCAATTTATTATATATACTATTCGAGCTT